CCAAATTGGTTTGTTGGGGGTTTCTAGGTTCTTTGCATGTTGCCAAGGGAAACTGAAGGGAAAGCCGCCATTTTGTGGGGTTCGGTCCCATGTTTTGACCTCCAGGGTGCAAGACACTCATGGAAGGGGCGAGGGGAGGCCGTGGCTTGTCCTTGTCCTATGGGTTTTCAGGAGTAGCCCATGTTTGGGCACAGACATGGACTATTTTGCAACAAGGTCTGATCAAGAAGGAGGCCTCGAGAACTCAGAAAGACGATGCCTAGCTGACCTCAGTTGGCTACCCAGACAAAGCTTAAGCTTTTGGGCTCTTTCCAAATCTGAAGAAACTCTCAGCCAAGCATTTTCTCGGTTGGCCAACTGAACAGGGCCAAAGAATGAAGGGGAAATGCAAGCAATCCAAGTCGATGGCACGCCTGCGCCGCATCGGAAATGACCAGTGCCACCGGAGTGGTCTGCTCGGTCAAGCTGGAAGCAGTGTAGACCTCACTCTGGTTGCGCGGGGGCCATGGACAGTGCCGATACCTTAGCCCTCTAAAAGCCCAAAACCTAAGCCCCCGGTCGTTGCAAAGAAGGCCCTAGGAGTCTATCATTCGGAAAGGGGCGCTCCTCGAGTTCCTTTTTTGACCAACAAGTTGCGACTTCATGGGACCGGGTTCCAGTGGCAAATAGATTTGGCTGCACCAAAACCCATGCCGAACTGTATCTTCCGCAGCCCATCTGCGAGGGGGGACGGGAACGCGTAAAAATCAACAAGTATGAAGTCATGCTGTTCAAACACAGCCAATCTACTAGTTCCGGGCAGTCTGAGATGTCCTTTTGGTTCACCTTCAAAACAAACTCACAAAAGGCCCTAAAACCCGCTTTTCCCCAAAAGAAAGTTATTGGTCAACAAATCCAATAGAACCGGAGTCAAGGCACCAGCAAGTGACTGTAAGCCGGCGTATCTGCGGGAAGCAGCGAGGAAGTCTGCGTCGTCTTCACGGCCTGGCGGGACAAACGCGCAATTCTCAGGTCCAAACGGGTTGCCTTCAAAAGGGTTTGCCTTTTTTGACGGTACCCTGTTTGAGGTAGCCTTAAAAGAGACCAAAAGGAAGCCGACTTTCTTCGGTATCCCCTATTTTGAAACAAAACCCAAATAGAGGTATCCAACCACACGGGTTGCGCATTGAACAATGGCCCAGTCCCTGTGGTTCGGCTGAAATATGTCTGTTCAGCCCTGCCCACAGTGCGTGATATACTTTTCAGCTTTGTTTTGTGGGGCTTCTTACCTTGCCTACCATGCGCGAGAACATGCTGGCCCTTCCAAGTCAGGGGTCTCTGTGTCCGAAGCGGATGAGCTGGAACACTTGTTAAGCCCTTGCAAAGCACATCCAAACTGAGGCCTCAAGCCCGAAGCCTATGCCAGCGCGGGCCACCCGGTGTAAAAAACCAGGATTCCCATGTTTCCAATGTTGTCCTGATCCGAGATCCAAAGAGCCCCTGCCCCCAACTCTTGCCACTTGCTGAGCTGCCAGGGCACAAAATCGGGCACAAAATCAGGCAACTGTAGAGAGGAGCTGTCCCATATCCACAGCAAACCAAGCAATGAGCACATTGAATGCCTTCGCTTCGTGAAGGTTGCCGACTCATTAGAATGTCTACGCCACCAGCAACGTTGATGATGCCTTCTCGTAGCGGCTTCATCCTTCAGACACGTTCCTCTTTAACTTTCCTTTGGAGCCAGCCAAAGCGGGATTGCCCTGCTGTGCGAAAGCCGATTGCATCTGAACCCAAGGGAATCCTTGCCAGCAAAGCTTGCCAGGGCTACCAGCATCCGATTCTCTGCTGCAGCAGACGAAGCCAAGTACACGTAATAGCTGCGCCTCAGCCGACGTATTTTTGTCTGCCTTACTGCTTCACGGCTGCAGAATCAAACAACCTGTCTCACCACCCAAGGCTCTGTCCTATGTGATGAAAATGCGACAAAGCACGGGTCCCCAGCAGTACACCTCAAGCAAGCTCGGATGCTCGCACAACAAACGCTACCCAGCCGCTGTCAGGCGAAACCCAGCGAACTGTCATGACAATTGTTGTGTCTGAGAAGCGACAGCACCCTACCCTCTTACATCTCAGCGGCATCATTCTTGCCCGGTTGTGTACAACTCTGGCACCGGTACATGGAGGATAATATTTGCAGAGGATACCTGACATCATAAAACCATAGGACGAGGACAATATCCATTGTTCAGCCTTGCGTTCCAAATCGCGCAGGCGCGAAAGCTGTTGGAAGTTCAGGCATGTGCTTTCCCCAAGCAGGCGGCCTGGACAGCTTCAGACTACCTGATTCCGCTAAAGTAAAACAATGGATTAGAAGTCTGCAATCCAAAAAGCAGATCCATACTTGGATTCATCCAGCCTCCGGACCCGGAATTGACCCTCTCCTCCAATTCTTTTGGAAATACAAGTCTCCATGCCTTGACCCCCTTCTAATGCAGGGAGCCCCAAAAAAAGATCCAAAAGGTTAGACTTGGGAGGAGTAAGTCCACAAGTCCATGCCAGGGAGCAACAAAGCCGTGTCAGCCGGCTCAGCCCAGCTCACGTTGCCTCCCAGCTCGTGCTCGTCCAAGTCCTGCGCGTCCAACAACCCGAGGCTGTACAGGGCAAAATGTGCTCACACAAATCCCTGGGTCCGCCTATTCAGAAGGAAGCCGACAGCGGGATTCTAAAAAATAGTATATGGACAAGTTCAAGCAAAGGGGTGGCCCAATTGTGCTTTCTGGGTTGGTCCTGAAGTGACCTGCAACTAGCATGACGGCTTGCTTCCAATTGTCGGCACCAAATGACTTCTTGCCTGGAAACCGTTTTGCAAAAAACCATGAAGCTTCAACAGGAGCCGCGTCTACCTTGCGGAATGCGCTGAGTGATGCTCTATTGGAGTTGGCTCAGCCAAGTCATCGGCAAACATGAATGACCCAGGCGAGAGAGGGGGGCGCTCATGCCTTCCAAGGGGCCCATGCACGGGCAATCCCCAGGAATAATACATCATCCAGGGCATCCAAGAAATGCAGAAATTTCGAGCGCAATCAAACAATAAACTGAAAAAGGAAGGGTTGTCGCCCCAAGGTCAGCCAGAAGGCAGTAAACGACCAGCCCTCCATCGCTGCAATTCGCGGCCCAAAGGCGATGTGCCCTCCACGAGAAGACGGCCGCCGTGGGGTCCCGTAACACGGTGCCAAAAGGTGAATTGTGTCTTGGTATTGTACTGACAAGCAGCCCTCCTTGAAGGTGTGACAATGAAAAGCCCCTGTGGGCAAACCAGAGAAAAGCAAGCCAAGCCCGAAATTCTGCAAAGAGAGCGTCGAAGTCTCTAATGAATTCAACACCAAAAAAGCTTCACACGGCGACACATAAAAGGTCCGTGACCCCCACCAGCATACTGATCTTGGGATGGCTGCAGATCCAGAAAGGATTGAGGAGCACCGAATCGATTTGGGTTCTCAAAATGGAGGGAACCTCCAAGGCCGTGGTTTGCCATTTGTTACACAAATGAAAAACACACAAAGGGCATGGCAGCGTCGTTGCGATTTCTGTCCAGATCGTTGAGCTCGACAGAAGACACCGAGGCATCCGTGTCTGCAATGAGAAGGACCTCATGACTGACAATGGAGTGCCACCTTTCTGAACTAATCAGTTGGCAGAAAGGCGAACCATTGTCTGTGTCTACATATATGTATATATACATACTTGCCCATATACTACCACGATAAAGTTTGTGCATTTCAGACCTGAAGTTGGGTCTGAAATCGGCTTTCCTCCTACCAGACTGCGCCGCCCTTGAAAACATCTAAGAGCCCCCCCCCCCGCCGGGTGTTGTGAATGTGGGTCGGGTGGTGGGGTTGTGCTGCACTGTGACTTGTGGTTTCCGCATCTGGGCCAAGCTACCACATGTGGCCCCTAAGCAAACATCGGCGATCCAAAGCCAAGATCAGTGCACGCTGCGCAACACACGTCTTTGCTTCTGGCTGGGTCTGCGGAACCAAACGGCTCCATCTAATGACAAATTCATTCCACATCAGTCCACACAAAATCTACAATGCTCCCAATGCCATTTTAGGGCAGCAGTCCAATGTCCAGGGTTTACAAGTTCCAGGCCTGTGGAACGCACATGTGCAATAATTGTGTACATATATATATATATATATTCATAGTATACATTATTATACAAGTGTCTATCAATATTAGTCTATGATCAACTATCTGTAGTGATATCTGGGGGTCGGGATCCCGGCTCCGCCCCGTGTTGAGCCAATGCGTAGACTGGGGAGAGTCCTCTTCAGGAGATGTGCCCTGATCCCAAACGCCCTGATTCGGATCGTTCGGGGATCAATGAGGCCGCACGCTCCAGTCTCCCTAAGATTCCCTGAAGGAATCTGGAAGCAACGGTTGAAGACTTGTAACGCATCTCGACGATGATGTCCAAAACTAGACCTCCGAAGCTGCGAAACAGCTCCGAAACCTATGGGATTTTTCATGTGGCACACTTGAGTCCAGCATCAAGTGGAAGAAAGCCCTGCAACTGACCTTTTGTTCAGCCTCGGATCCCAAAACACTGATGAGTCTGATCATTCATTCATGGGCTCCAAGAGTGAGAAGTCAGAAGACGTCTGCCTATGTGCTAGGTCTGATGTGCTTTCCCGGGGCAATCCACAGTCCAACGGTGCCTTGAACGGGTGAGCCTTGAGGCCGATCCTTCTACATGCACGGCGCGATATTTCGTGCCAGCCTAGCTGACCCTCTTTCAGAAAACTGCGCTGCCGCCCCGCACATGCCCTGCTCTGTTTCGGGCCGGCCGCTTGCAACCACTTCATGATTCCCCCAACACAGAACTCAGTAAACCCCAGACATGGTCGAATTTTAATTTCTCGAGAGAAACCTCCACACATTCCGCATACTGGAACCCCTTGGCTCACGGAAGCCTGAAGGCTTCCTAGAAACAAACACCCCTGCAGATTGCTCGAAGTTGGCAGCCCGGGCCCCCTCGGTTGAACTCCGAGGCACGGCGGGAGTGGTTTGCTCCTCCAACTCCGAGGCGGCAAAGACCAGGAGGTGGGTGAAGTTCTCCTGTCGATTTGAAGCTCCCGCGTTGCCTTCAAGGATACATTTTGAAAGTAGATGGCACGTGGCCTTCACCCACATGGGATTCGGAACTGTGCCATGTACGTTCAACTGGCCCCTGGCTTTGCCCCAAGCCGACTTTCCATGGACGAGCTTCGGGTGTGGAGGAGTCCTTACCTCGATGTGTGCTCATTGCAAAGGGAAACGGTATTGGAAGCTCTTTGTTGAGGGCAACCCCTCTTCCATGCATTTAGAGTCGAGGACGGGGCCCTAGGTTTTTAGCTTTCCTCTGCCATGACAAGCGACGGCATGCGACATCTGCCTTGCCTCGAATTGGCTCTCCAGACTTGCTGTTCAAGGGCCCCATGTGCTGAGGCAGTTGACTTCTCCAGGGGTGCTTGTACATACCCCTTTTGCATACCCCTTGGACGAATGAACCCAAAAGGCCTGCTGATGTTCATACCCCTCTCCCCAAAAGGGGTCTATACCCCTTATAAAGTGGGTTGGACCACGGAAGCCAAGGGGTACGAACAAGGGGTATGTACTTCCACCCTTAGAACTTCGGCCTGTGCCATTTCATGGAGGGTCGCCATTTGTGTGCACAAACGGCATGCCGACAAATGCCCGGACCATCTTCAAGGGTTCCCAAGTGGGGCAGAGTCTTTGATTGAGGGGTCTGTCTATTTGGGATGTCTCAAAAAAGTAACGCCCCGAAAAGAAATGTGGGTTTCCTTTGTGGTTTCCCTTTGAAACCCTTTTTGAAGAGGGCCCATCTGTTGGTTGTGCTTCAAATCGGAAGTTGTCAAACTCAAGTCTCCTCTTCCCTGCGATCGTTCCCTTCAGGGTGCTTGTTTTGTGGCAAAGAGGGTGTGCCAAGGTGACATGCATCCAACGATGGGCTGAAGTTGAAAGGTGCAGGACAAAGCACGCAACACCTAGAGGTATTAGTCTCTGGTTACCTACGATCGCAACTGGTTGCACAGAAAGCAAGTGTCGCAGCGGTTTAAGAGGGGCTACCTCAAATCTCTCCTTTGCCCAAAAAAAGAGCACGCTTCAGGGGTTGTGCGGCTGACAGTTGACTTCCGACAGCCCGCGCCTGTGCGAAGTCGGCTGGGATGGTCACATTGCTCTCCTCCGAGCTGACCTTCGACGAGAACCCTCAAATACACCCCGTTTTCACAAACTAGCCTTGGCTGTCTCCTTCTATTGCTATTTGCTTTTGTGTTTTGGATACGGGCTGGTTCTCTGTAAAGCAAAAGGTCCCCTTGTCAGCAACCTCCGCATGGCTGCTTCGATGGCTAAATCGGAGCATATCCACAAGATCAAAGCCGGCTGGCGCAAGCCGGTCTTTCTTCTTCCATGGGGGCCTTCTAAGGCTGGCACCCTGATGCAGCTCGGTCGTGAAAAGCCACTCCAGTGCACATTTCAGAAATGGAGCCCCGAACCTTCGTGGGGTTTCAAATGCCAGTTCAGAACATGGCACTCCACTCCATCGTTTGGCTGTGGATTTCAATGGGGGACCCCTCGTGAACAAATTATGTTGGTGGGCATTCAATGTTCCATGGTAAGATCCACAGCCATTTGTAGAGAAGTTTTCAGGAACCCCGTTTGCCGGGGTGCATTGGCCAAGAGCGTTCGCGACCAGTACACGAGGTCGGTCTTAGTGGTAGTCCTGCATTCGTGCAGCCAGTTGGACAAACGTTGGGACCTGTACGGGATTGTCATGCAAATACACGATATTGCGGCCAAACATCGATGGTCCACCCAAATTCAAAGCCGATACCGAGCAACCTGCAAAATCGATAAAGGCCCGCACAAAAGCAATAACGTAGTTATATTGTGAGTGACTCCTGTGGACATAGCTGATAGAAATACGTGGGGTACTGACATAGCATCTATCTTTCAATAATATTTCTCACTCTGTATGCTTACACAGCGATCTTGTCATCCAGCTTCCAATCTGAATAGTTCCCAACTACTCCAAAAAAATGCTCCAGAAAGGCAATCTCTGGACTGTTCAGCTTTGATCGATGCCTCAAGGACATCGGCCATCGCCGCGAATAAGTTGGGAGAAAGGGAGGAAGGCTTCAAGTACCTAGACATGCGACAGTCATCCAGTGATTGAAAGAAACGGACAGTCTGGGTTCACCTCCCCCAACTCCCCGTCGGTCGTGGTGGTGCTCGTGGTCTGCGTCATCGTGGCAGTACTGCTGGTGCTGGTGGCGCTGGTGCTGGTGGTACTGCTCACAGTGGAGGAAGTGCCTGTCGTTCGATCGCGCGATCGCTTTTTGGTGCCACCCCTGAGCTGCCCGTTTTCGGATCCCCCGCCAAAAGTTTATCTTTCTGGTGGGTGGAATGGAACCTATCACTAAACACAAACAGGCTAAAAAGCCAAGGGGATGGCTGGGAGCCACCAAGCCTGCAACTGCTGTGGGGTACTTGTTTGCCGCTTGGCTACAGCCAGCCGTTTCGATGGACATATCGTGGAGAAATATGCTTCGCAAAGCTTTCACCAACGATTCAGGACAAGCCCGAGAAGTATTGCTGGCTTGAAGAGAATATCCACGACATTGACATGGGATGGAAGAAAGAAGGAGCTACTGATATAGAACCTGGAACCGTCCCTAAGTTTCCAACACACGCAGCTGAAAGGCATAACCCCACCGATGTCTGCGAAATGGATCGGCCGGCGAATAAGTGTCCCCAAGTATAGGCTATATGAGAGGCCACTAAAGACGATAATAAACATAGTGTTTGGTCGAGAATTGGGAAAGCTCCACAAATAGTTGAGCTCCACTGAAACAAAAGGAGACTTCGTCGGAAAAGGAAACTCGTCTTGTGAACATCGAAAGACAACAACCTGCACACAATTGGACCAAGCACTGAATGTCACCCCTTAACAAACAGGTGTGGCAATGGTAGATGAAGAATATAATTGATGTGTTGCCATCAGTGGCAGCCGCACATCGCTCTTGAGATTTGGTCAATATGGATTGACTGCTTCTCATTTCAGCTGTAACTCTGGTCCAAGCATGGGCACATCGCCTCTCCTGGCAGAAGCGCACAACACAATGGAGGTCTTGAGGCGTCCAAGACCCTCAGGTCTCGGGCTAGCGTCCAGGTACCAACTTCGAAATGCAAATGTTCAAAGTACCTTAGACACTGGCCCCTCTGCAAAGTACCTTAGAAAGTACTACCAAGGGACATGTATACTTGGATGTGATCAACCTAAGTACAACCATGGTAAGTATGGGAACAGGGTTGGTTCCTTTGTCACCATAATCGTAACCTACTTACTAAGTGGGTTGAACATGCAAGTAACGGCCCTCACGGAAACTGAACTCGTCGTAGTGATCCTCCTTGTATTGGAGGTGGGTTCTTTTCACGATTATCTACGAATCTTCGGAACCTCAAAAACGCATGGTGGCTTCGCTTCTTTTTCCGCGGTCCGTCGCCGTCGCCGGCGAAAAGCGGCGCCAGGCCGCGGTCGCGGCGCATTCGGCCGCGGCCGGCGGAAGCGGAGGAGCGCAGGCGGCTTTGCGCTGCAGAATTCGCAGGTCCAAGTCGACGTGGGCCTGGCGACAAGTCCGACCAACGAACCAACCAAACAAGCGGGCAGGCAGGCAGGCGGGCGGGCAAGCAAGCAGGCAGGCAGGCAAGCAGTCAGGCAAGCAACCAACCAACCAAAGAGGCAACCAAACAGGCAACCAAACTGGCAAGCAAGGAGGCAACCAAGAAGGCAAGCAAGGAGGCAAGCAAGCAAACAGGGAAACATGACATAAACAATGCTTGATCGATCCTTGTTTCGAGAAGAGGTCTTACCAAGTGTTTCCTACGGTTTTGGAAACTACTTTTGTTGGGCTGTGGGGTACCTTTCCCGGGCTGGGTTTGAATGGAACCGGGGAACCCACAGACTTTGGGAGACAACCCTCTCCTTGAGGTCTGTGTACAGGTGCTCCCTTCTCCTCTCCTCCAAGGACTCCGTGAGCTGCTCGAAGCTGCCTAGGGGAACCAACACGTGAGCGCCCGAAAGCTATTGACCTGTGGTTCCACTAACATGGTTAAGGCTTCCATAGGCTTTACTGTAGAACCAATCAACCAGTGGAACCTGCCAATATGTTTGTGCAGATGCTTTGCGCTCACGCAAACCTCTAAGTGCACATAGGAGTACTGACTGAACTCATTGTCCTCTATCAACGACCATTTAGAAGGAAACCATGCTGATGCATCTTACCCGAGACACTGTGACACATTTGTTTTGCCACCGAGGGGAAGCTACATATGTTCGTGCTAATCACATCAATGTTCTACCCAAGCGTGCTTTGCTCATCTTTTAGGAACTGGCCAGGACGCAATCTACAGATTGGTTGCCAAAGATGATGAAATCTGCCAACCCCAAAGCTCTAAGTTTGCTAATCAGAGATGGACCGAAAGAAAACAGCGGTTTCCTGCAGTCTTCTGCTTGAAAACACAACAAATTATACTTTCATAGGACAAGTTTTTGACCCCAACCAACAAAGACATGATGATGGTTCATATGGTAAGTAAACCCAATGTGAAATAATGTTGACAGAGACCCCAAGAAACAACAATTTCCACCGGTTTCGTGCAGATGGTTGGCTTACGTTTGGCTCAAAGCTAGATGGTTGGCTTACGATTGGTTTGAGAACCCTAAAATGGCTCGTTTCCGGTTGGTGTCCCTTCCAAACCATCAAAAAAAGGCTACCATCAAAAGAGACCACCCAAACCCCCAAGCCACCACTCCAAACCACCAACCTCACACCTGAAACTTCGAGGTCTACGCCCTCTGGGCGTCTGCGAAGAACGCCAAGTGGCGCTCGGCGGAGGCCACAATCAGCAGCCCGCAGGGCGCCAGCGCCCGCGCCAGGAAGCGCCAGATCTCCTGATCATCGCCATCCGCGGAAAGGGGCGTTGAGGGAACCGCTGGGGACTGGTCAACCCGCTGGCCTCACTACTTTGCCATGATCAACGTCACCCCCCCTAAGTGGTGGGTTAAAGGGAAACAACCCCACTTTCTGACTTTGATAACCCCCAGAAACCGTCAAAACAATGACCCCAGACCCGGGGAGGGCAGTGTTTGTTGGTGGAGGCCCTGAGCAAAATGCGTCGCAGGGCCATGGAAGTGATGTATTGGTGAAGCCCTCTCTTGGGACCATCGATTCGTCCAACCAAAGGATCACCCCTCCCAGTAATTCTGGTAGACAAAAACCGAACTTTTTCGGGCTAACACCGTTGTTGTTGGGTCCCACCAAAAGGGACAAATGCGGAATCCACCTAGCTACGCCTCCAAGATTTGGGCGTGTGAGGATTCCCTTCGCGGATACCAAGAGATTCCCTCGGTTGGAAGCCCGAATGAAGTTGACGGTGGAATGAAGGCATGACCCCTGAATTCTCAGCAGGAGAACCGCCCCCTTAAATAGGAACAACAGGCAAGTGCGTATCTTCCTTTGGTTTCCGTTTCACCAACCGAAGAAACCCTCCCACCTCGCAAAGAGAAGGCATCTTCCCTATGGTTCCCTTTTAACCGAATCTACCCGCACCTGCGGGTTGCTCAGAAGGCGATTGCCAGAGACATTCAACACGGCAGTGCCCGTGTCTTCTCTTCTAAGTGCGTGAAGCTGAAGCAACTTTCAGTTGGCTGCCTTAAGGCTAGGGGCTGGTTTGGAGCATCACAACTTTGAGTGAGCAATAGCCCCAAAAGACAATAGGGCATGTGATTCTAACAAGATGATGATCACAAAGATGTCTACAGGCAAAACTATAACCAGGTAGTAAAACCTCCTCCTAAAATGGCCAGTAGGAATCGGCTTGTGTGTGTGCTCTGGTTGAGGTGGGCGCAGGGGCAACCGAAGGCTGGTGGGTTGGACTCTAAAAACACGGCAGTCACTCTGAAAACGTTGCACCAATAGTTGTTTCCCAGTATTCAAATCGGGTTTCATCCATAGATGGTGGACATTGTTCACGAAAGGCTGAACAAGATAGAGACTTCACTCACATTCCGACAGAAAGTGAACCAGCTTTGTGTTTGATACGGCTCAATGTTCGGGGTAACGTTCGGCAGGTGTTCAGAGTTGGCTGCTGAGCAGCATGTAGGAGTCTCCCCAGAGCCGAGTGAATCAAAAGAGCGGATATCCGCACCCGTGTCTTGGGACTATCCCTGAACCTTATAATTACTTCTTCTGTTTTTGGCTCACGTGCGTGAGCTGAGGTTCTCCTCAGTGTCCTCAGCTGTCCGGAATCCAGCAGACATCAGCACCTCAGCAAAAAGGCGAACACACCGCTTCCATCATGAAAGAAGTTGCGTCAACAAAATAAACCTTTGATTTACGAGGGCCGGCTGGCTTCATTTCGGGGCGAATGTTGTTGGGTGAGCTTCTCCCGGACTCCCTGGTAGACATTGCAACATTCTAGAAACGCATTGGGAGTCAAATTGAATGAGGACCTAGAAGGAAATCCGCGTGCGTGTTTCTGGTGGTGAGAAACAAGTTAGTTAAACATATTCAGTTAGACTCTCCTTCACAAAAGCCAACCACTTTCCCGGGAAACTAGCATTCACTTTCTGTAAAGGGCTATTTCCAAGCATCGAAGGAAGGCGCTCACGTTCAAGACGCCATTGCCGAATGCAGCCCAAATTCCAAGGTAAGAAAAGCCTAGGCCTTACGCTCATTCCCAGCAAGGTGGCCTGTGAATAGATGACTTTTTGTGAGGAGCCCATCCAAAAAAACAGAAAGTGATACTGGAAAAAGTCGGGTGTGAAAAAGTGAACTAAATGGGTTCCCGCCGCATGGGGCTTTTGTCGATGGGATCCAAACATTTTGGCTTTGGGGCAGCTAAAAGACTCGTTCTGCCAGGTCGCTTCAAAGGAAACCAACCTGAACCTCTGACCCACTGCAAGTTCAAAGCATGTTTGGACTATTTCCTCGCGAACATGGAACCTCACCTAAGGTGCTTGGGGGACCAAGCTCCTCTGCCAAGGGCAACTCTGATGGCTCTTTGCTAGGGGGAGGGAGGCTTGTCCAAACATGCTGTTCTGGTCTAGAAATTTAGATCTCTGCATTCAGTTGAACCTTGTTATGAACAGACATGAACAACAACAAGGTCAACAGTTGACAACCAAAGTCATGTTGGGCACGGCGCCACATCGAAGGTGCCCTCGAAGAGCTCGCCAGCACTGTGAAGCGCTGCCGCCTAAACCAGCGAAACAAGTGGCCCGGGTTTCGCTGTGCCGTCCAAGGAAACATAGACGCCCATTGTGGGCCAACTCGTGCGCATGCTGAAAGGGGTTCGGCGGTATTCGGCGGTGACTTGCGCTCCGCATGCGTGTCTGCGTACACTGAGCAGCCGCAATGCGGTAGTAGCACCCGCCTATGCTTGCACAAGCCATGGGTTCAAAATGGTGCACACACACAGTCTATATAGTACTCCCAGCTCCTTTCTAGGCACTTCCAATTGCACCTGAGAGTAGATCTAAAACCCAACCAGCACATTTTAAAGTCCCCCACAACCTCGAATCAATTTGGCCCTCGCATCGTTTCGACTCCGCCTGCCGCATGTTGAGGCGCAGGCGCTTGGTGCCGTTTCGCAGGGACCGGCCCATGGCCCGCAGGGCGCGGAGCGAAAAGTCCGTCGCAACCACCTGGAGTGCGGGAATCTGTCTGTCTCAAAATTGGGGGACTCCCCCTCCCCGGAACAAACAAACATAAATATATATATATATATACGGTTTTCCTCCAGCACGACCAAACAACTGCTTTTTTTGCCACTTCCAAAATCCCCAGTGCTGTCCAAAAAGTATGTTGGGGGGTGCTGGCTTGTTGCTTCCGCTCAATCCTGAAAAGGGGCACTCAAAACAAGACGCACCCATCCACTTTTTGCGTGGCCAAGGGAATCCCCGTTCAAGTAACTAAGTACAGCATTTGGGGATAAGTCAGAAAGTGTCAATCTGGCGAGCGCCTACTTTCAGGTACATCCCCTGGTTGGCGCCCTGATTAGTCACGGGAATCAACCACTTGGGTACGCCAACACGCAGATTGGATTCTTTCTTTGAGGGTAACCTTTTCGGGGTCGGTTTCAAGGGAAACCAAACGAAAAACCAGCTCCTTTTTGGGGTGGGATGTTGACGCAAACCCATGGAATGATGTTCAGTTGGGGAGCCTTTGGTGGACATCCACAGTTCCTGACTCCGTGGCCACAATAGACATTTTTGGCATGTGACAAAATAGAGGACCTTCCAAAGTCCTGCCGGGTTTTCCTAAGGGAACTCCCAAATTGCAGGCTTTTCCTTTTGGTTCCCGTTAAACCAAGCCCAAAAAAACGGGTGCCTCCAGGAACACAGCAATCCATTGGCCGCGCCTCAGCTCCGTGAGACTGTGCCACAAGGCTGGGCAGTGCCACTCCCGCGAAGACCTGAGTGCAGGCCATGCGTTGCGCACAACACAAGATGAGGCGGGATGTGGCATGTCTCTTCATGTTTCTGCAAGTTCTGCAATGATTCCAGAAGCTGAAATAAGGGATGGCGCTAACAAAGCTTTCGTGTAAATGCTAAGCTTGTTTTGCCCCTAGCGCTCACCATAAATGGGACAGGTTTTTATTTGGGGTTTCTTTGAACAACAATTGCAGTGTCCGAACGGGTCTGCCCGTGCTCCACACTAATGCTGGCCGCGTTTGCGACTGTTAGCTAGCTTGTTAAGGAGGCAAGGGACATCTTAGCCGGCTAAGAAGGAGCCACTGCCTTGTAAAACTGAAGCCAACCCGGCTAGAAAACTGAAGCTGGAGTCAGAGAGCCGCGAAAGTTAGTTAGGCTGAGAGGTGGCGGTGTAAGGTGGGATAATAAAGCTGCGCAAACCTAGATATTGATGGTTTCTTCGCAGGCATGGTTGTTCAAAGAACTGGCAATCCGTTAAACATAGATAAAGGCACTGGCACATTTGTTTGCAGCAGTGGAAAGTTTGTTACCGTGGCCGGAAGCTTGTTAAAGCAGCTGCCTGTCTCTTACAACAAGTGAAAGTTTGTTGAACTTGCTGCTTGGCTGTGCAGATGACTAGAAGCTTGGTTATGTAAAGGGTTGGAAGTTTGTAGGGAAGGCTGCAGGTTTGTAAAAGCGGCTGTGAGTTTGTGAGAGGGGGCTGGGCGTTCGTTGAGCAATGATGCGCCACAATCTCTCCAACGCGCAATGCCTGCATCTTCACTTTGACAGTGGTTGCTGCCGCTTGCAGACGCCCATTCCTGCGCTGTCGCCTTCTCCTTGCAGCACCGGTCAACCCGGCTGCTGCGCGTCGGGTTTCAACTTCTCCTTCCAGCACCTCTGCGGTTCGCGCGGCTGCCGCGTGTCGGGCTCCAACCTTCGGGCGCTGCTGCCCCATCCTCTCTCGTCAGCTTAAAGCGGCTCTGCGCAAGCCCACCTTCCTGCGCGTTATCACCTCTTGGCTTGGACCCCAAAATTCGGAGCGAGAACAAGGAGAAAGCGGGGCGCACGTGGGTTGGCCTTGGCCCAAGGGTTGAAGCCCGATACGCGGCAGCCGCGTAGTCGGGCACAACCCTCGGGCCACGGAATGGTGGCTGCCTTGCAGGCACCCATCCCCGCATCACGCAGCACCCATCCGACCCATGCGCTTGTGCTTCAACGCAGCTGTGTCGGGCCTGAATCTTCGGGCCGCAGGCCCACCCAGACGGCGGCTGCTCCCAGCGTTGCGCTTCCGCCGCGGTCGGGCCTCAACCCTCGGGCCGCAGGCCCACCAGGTGGCTGCACACGGCCGACATCACCGTCGTCTGCATTTTATCTACGTGCGTCGCCTTTCTCCTTGCCGCTGATGTTATGCTCCCTACCCTAGGCTGAAAGAAAACTAGCTCCGGTTCAAACAAGCCAACATCCAACATACAAAAGCAAGCCGAGGGCCATGCCCAGAATTGGACGCCCTCCTATGCGTAACTCACGAAAACACCGCTTAACTCTGGAGATAACACGCACCTCAAAACTCACGATATGTGGCAAACCTCACTCAGACCCCAGTTGGACGCTCCAAAACAACATCCAACAAGCTGACAACTTCCCCCAAAATGCATTCTTTAAGATGGCCACATTCGAGACCATCCGCAACCATCCACTCCCGTTCTCCCCCTTTCCTCCCTTCCACTGCCACACCTCACCTGATACCTGCCCCCCTCCACCATCTCCCGCCCCAAGCTTCTCAACCTCACTCCCACTCCCAGCCCCACCTTCACGTTGCAAGCGATCCCCACGCCTCCCCCTCCGGTCCACGCAAATCCCTCGCCTCCAGCACCATCTTTGGGCGCCCGTCAAAGCTCCAGAAGTCGCCGGCGCAGTCGGCCCAACGCGCCAACGCCAGCCCGGCGGGCCACAGGAGGCCCCCCACCCACCTCGCACGAAGCCGACCGGCGAAAAAACATGCCTGAAAAAACTCCCCCAAGACATGGAAACCGGTCAATCCATGTCATCAAGCCAACTTCGGGCCTGCAACAAAGTTCATGCAGACTTGGTTTGCAGTAACTGCTTGGTAGCTGGGCCAACAACCAAGGAATACTGCAAAAGAAAGCTCAAACTGAACCCTTGTTGAAAAACCCAGCCATGGCGCGCGTGTCACTTCTCCCAAAGCAGCTCTTCAGCCAAGTCACATGTCCTTGGCGTCTCGTGAGCTCAGAACCTGAGTCCAAACGATTTGGACCCCACTGGCTTCAACCCAGGGGCTCAGAGTTCCACCCATTGACTTCGGGTTCTTCCAACATGCCCAGTGGATCCAAGTGGTATGCCACTGTAGCAGGCAAACAGTTCTTCTCCTCGTGACTTTTAAGGGGTGGTTCCCTTGGTTACGCCCACTCCCAGGTAAATGGATCCGCTGGGATGGGAAGAAAGGTTTCCCGTGTAGGCCCATTCCAGCCCGAAGAAATCAGGAAGAATTGCCTTTTGGGTGCTTTGTCATTCGTGAAACCTGGCCATACAAACGTTGCGGCGTTGTTAAGTTTTGTGTTTGCTTCATACTACCAAAATGGGGTACCCCAAACTAAGACAACACCATACTACCACCAACAACCGCCAGAGGCCCCACCTTCCGAAATCTTGGTAATTGCAACACAAGAGCTTCTTGCTGCAACTTCTGGAAAGTGGACTATTCCATCAGCAAGCTTGACCTAGGTGTCGATTGAACAAAAAGTGGTAAACTGTTAAGCGGGTCTGTCGTTTTTTGAGGATACCCCTTGTTTGCGGGTTTAAAAAGAAACCAAAAGCAAAAACCAATGCCATTTTCCGGGGTCCTTTACAAAACACCCCCAAATGAACAAAGCCAACGTGAAGTCAGTGGACTCCATTTCAACCAAACTGACCCAGCCCTAAGCCACCAATCCCAACTGCCGGATTTGGATTTTGTCCGATGCGAGGACAAAAACTTGCGGAGTGGTTTGGCAAAAAGGCAAAACCTTTTGTCTACCCCTGAAATGCCTTTTTGCCGAACCCCCCAAAAAGGCGAAAAGAGTCCCTGAAATGGTCTTCCCAAAAGGTAGAACAGCCAGGGCCGCAAGAAGCGCGAGGACGTTTCAGCTCGCCTGCGCCACCGAGAGGATCTCGCGCCCAGAACGCGCCACCTGGAGCCCCGCGGCCTCGCGCTTGGGCAGCACGTTGGGGTCATCGAAGCCGGGCCACAGCACGCAGCCTCGGTCATCGAAACGGGATCGATCGATCCGTGGTTGGGTTAGCTTCAGGTGCCCTTTCTTGGTCAGGGAATGAGGGAATGAACCCTATCAACAGGGATCCTTACATTATACACCTGAACATTGCCTTGTAAATGGTGGTTCCCTTTATTTTGGTGGAAAAATCCATGTTTCAAATGGGCAAATGTATCTTTTAAGGAGCCCTGATAAACTATAAAACATCCCTTGCGGCTTCCTTTGAGAGTGGGGACCCCTAGATTCATCCCAGCACCCGGAGTCATTCTTTACACCAGCAAGCTTTAGGGGCTTGGTGTCTCGGGAACCAAGCGGAAACTTGCCATTTTGGCGGGTTAAAGGAATAGGCTCAAGAATTTGAAGGGGTACTTGGGTACCATCAAACGAAAGTCATGCTTGAGATTATTCGCCGAAGTTAAAATGGATTGTACATGGGCCCTACCTGACAAAACAGAACGAGACATAAACTACAACTAACAATATGTATTCGTTTCCGGCTGGGCCCAGGACGGCAAGCGTGAATGATTGATGGGCGTCATGTAGCGGCCGCTTGCCTATGAGGGTGGGACCGTCCAAAGCGAAGGAAGCCAGAGGCTTGAGACTCTCGCGGCGATCCTCTTGAGGGATTGTGGTAGCCTGATCTCCAAACGGAAGGTTTGGAGCGAAAGGGCTTTGACAAAAGCACACCCTTCGAGTCTGGGCACCAAGCTTTCAAATCTGTATTCACCGCAAGTTCCCTTGGCATGTTTGGTCCAAATCGGGCTGAACAAATCCAGCGTTCCCCCCTGAAAGTGTTCGGCTGAAAACAGCAGGCTCCACTTGGATCTCACAGGGCGCTGCACTAGGCGCTCTCTCTCGCAGCGCTCAGCGCAACTTGCACTGTGACACGCCTCAAGCTCAGCTCCAAACCAGCTCACAGTCAAATCGGCTGCCTTGAATGCAGGACATCAACAAAAAAACCTGCAGCAAACAAGATAGTGTTGGGGCTAAGGTCTTGAAGTACACTATCTTTCTAGTTATGAAAATGACTCTGTACTGTTTTAACTGGAGCTGATTTCTACATGATCACCAGGGTGGTTCAGATGTGCCAATTGCATCTGTTTGGACCTCTCATCCACCAACCCCATCCCATGCTCAAGCAGTCAAGCAGCAGCGCTCAAAGGTAAGCCCCGCTGCTGGCAGCCAACATCTGAAGTTGTCAGAGAGGCAGCAGGAGTCCCAGGTGTACACGGACCCGTCAAAGCACAACTCCGATCTGGGGCCATCTAACCCATCAGCTAGCGCCGTCCCCACTAGGACGAACAGGCTCGAGCAGTACATGCTGCAATTTCACCTCATAGCTGCCGTGCTGGTCCGCTTTGTGTGAAAAAGGACAGGACTGTCTTCAAGTGCCAAAGGGTTCTATCACAAGAACAATAGACGTTAACAATACAATGAAATTTTATGCCTCTCTCGTTTTGACGCTACAACAAATTACTTGTAGTGCCTATGTGTTTTGTATTTTTCAGACATAAACAAGTGACAACCAATGTATCCCCCAGGCGAAGCATGACCGTACCCATCCCTGGCGACCTAGCGCTCTGATGGCCATGCCGGCAAGTTGGAAACGCGTAAATCCAAGTCCTCTTTGAAGAAGGACCCATTCTATCCCCATAAATACGTTCTGAAGAGGTACTTGGACTTTTCGGAAAAGCAATTCATCAACTGACCTGTTCCGCGCAACTGGTTGTGCAACATCTCCACCCTAGAGTTGATAACCAGTGTACAATTTTGGGGCAATAGTTCTTGGTGGCATCAAAGAGACACCACAACGAAACAAACAATGTTGGCGGTTCCTCCATTAATCCATGTTCTGCAACGTCACAGCTTGGCTCACAACACGGGCGCGGCGTGAGGCATGCGCATGCGCGCCTGTGACGGTGGTAGCTGTAGCCGAGGTCGTAGACACGGTCGAGGTAGTTATGGTGGTCAGCGCTGCAAGACTCACCTGCAAGAGGAAACACTACACATGCAGAAACCAATGGGGAAGAACAAAACCCACACCCACCAGCCTGCAAAAATGGTAGGGGCCCTCCCAAAACCAATGCTCCGATAGTCTCTCATATGACTATTCATTACACATTCACATAACACTTTTATTGTCCGTATTGTAACCCACACCCTCCGCTGAACCAGATTTAGCACAACCGCCCGCTGTTGATGATGATGGTTGCACATATGTGCAAATCCCAGAAGCCTTCAACGCATACTGTAAGTACCAGCATGTTCGCGCATGTGGTACAAACTCAGCTTGGATAAAGACTTCATGACAGAATAGGTGTCCACACCACAATCTGCAATGCCCGATTTTCGGAGCACGCTAGCAAAGCAGGGGTAAAGCGGGGGAAGGTTGAATCGGATGAGTTGTGGTCGCCCTGTGAAGAGAGCAACCCTGCATCCAACAGCCTATTGACTAGGGGAGGGATTTAGCCCAGTTTGATCTGGGCCCTTTCTTGTGGTGTCGGTCGGTGTGCCAAACTCGCACCTACATCAAGGAAGAGGGTTCATCGGAATCTATATCCAAATGGTGCGCCTTGCTGATAGATGGACCTTGAGACATCTTGAGACAAAGCCATGCCCAAGAGTCCAAGAGCCAACCAACCTAACCCCCCCCCCAAAAAAAAAAAGCAACCTTGAGTGAACTCGGTCCCAAGCCACGGGCCGAAATGTGCGGTGACCCGAGCCAATGAGGCCCCAAAGCATTCCATTGGAACCAGAGTTGGGCCAACCACCTGCTTCCTGTTTGATCCATGTTCGAACCTCATCCTGGTTCTTTTCAGTTTTCAGAGTTGCTATGGTCCCATCCCACCCAGATCCCATTCGCAGAGGCCCCAGCTGTAGGCTCGGCAAAGGACACGATGCTCACGGTGCCGTTCGCGCCCGCGGCTTCGAGCCTGGGTCATGGCGCGGTTCGAGCTCGATTCACATGGAGTAGCCAAAGCCATGTGCAAAGGAATATCCTCTTGGGAACCCCTGTTTTGGGCTTCATGTACCACTCGAGGTAGCTAAGCAAAAAAAAGGGAAGCGCACAAACGCTGTAGAGGCAAGAACCTCCGGTTCGCTCACATTAAGTGCTTCCAGTTACCACGATTAGTCGATGATTGGGGCTTCCCTCTGGGTTGCTCCTGACAGCAACACTGAATGGTCTCACCTCGGCCTTCCTGCAATCTTTGAAGCATTGACAAATTGCTGTGCGCGTTCCGCTGGGCTACCATCTGCTAAGCACCCAAAGAACTCCAGCGATAAACTTGATTCTGCAGGAAGATTATTCATCAGCTCGCCAAGCAAGCCATCGAATACTCAGGGAGCAAACGATATGAGCTCGTCATCAGGCATCAAAGCACGCGCCCATAGAAACAACTATGTTCCCACCTGTTCTGGTATGAGGCGACAGCATCGCAAGAATTTGAACCAATGCCAACACATAAGTCTTCCACAAATCAGGTCATGCCTGTAAAAATCCATATGGGTCTGCCTCAAAATGGTGGACTCGCCAAGCTGGGTGGTTTGCTGTTTTCCCTTTAAAGCCACCCCAAAAAGGGCACCCTCCAACAAAGACAAGCCTTTAAGGAAAACAACCATCAATGAACACTGCTATTGCTGCTATTGTTTCAGGAAGGCAAGCCGAATGGTTCAGAAGTATTTGCCGAAGGCTGCGTGAACCAACCAAGCGCTTGTTCAGAGTTGCGCGTCCCGAATTGCATATTTGTCTCACAGTTCGCTCTCCAAGAGAATGCTTGGGCACTTGCCCACTCTCAGGATCCGATGTCATTCCAAAAAACAACTCGCCTGAGGCTGCCCATTTGCCATGCAAAGTTTCGCTAGGAAATGGAAGAAACAGCCACTCCCGGCAAACTTGTTTCTGCAGTTCAGTTCATTAAACCAATCCTGAAGCACTATTCCAGGGCGTTCAGAAAGCGCGCCTCTCAACGAAATTCGCAGTTCCAAGCAGTAAGCGCGAGAATACGGCCTCGATAGACAAGGGTGGGGTCGTGCTGTGGACACTTAGAGTATATTTGCCAAGAATCTAAAACCAACGCATTTAGAGTAGGAGGTTGCAAAATACACCCTCAGTTTCCACCATATGACATATGCGAAGGGGGGGGGCTCTTTGGATCCCAAATCACCTCTGCCTCAAAGTGGGTGTCGCTTTGCGGGTACCCAAATCACATCAAATCAACTTCCTGGGTGGTTTTGTCAGCCGTTTGCCATACAGTTTAGTTCCAAAAGATGGAGAAGCAAGCAAGGGAAAACCGAGCCCTTTTGCAGTCAAGCAGAACCCAATGGGTATGTGCATGGGATTGCCAGAATTTGGGTTTTCCCTTTTGTTTGCCTTTTAAAGGACCCAACCAAGGGTACTGCAAGGAGTACCTTAAAACCACGTAAAGCCACCATCAGAGAATCGTGGTGTGTCCCTTCCTCCCCACGTTGCCATGGCAGCTGTTGAAGGGCTGGAAAATTCGTTCTCTCTTGGACGGCTGTCAGGTGCCATGGCGGTAATCATTTTGCCCCTTACCTTACACTCAAAATGAGACCCACTTCCAAATAGCAAGGCCACTCCTTGCCATGCGAGCAAGAGGCTCTTCGGCCAAGGCGGTCTCAAAGGCGCTGTAGTTGCCTCGGGCCGAAAAAGACCGCTCCCATTGAATTGAGAACCCGCCGAAAAGCAAAATGCCCGGCTGATTTCGAACCAGCAAAAGGGAACTCACCCTAGATTGAAGCGCCCAAGGGCTGTTCACCCAAGCTGGTTCATTACATTCTCAATTTAGTGTCAACTGACCCAGTGGCGCAAACTCCGAAGCTTCTTGCCATGTGCTTTTTGAGGGTGCTCTATTCGCCTTGACTTAGAAGAGACCAAAAAGGAAGACACGTATCCAAGTATCCAACCCGAACACCTGAGATGCTTAGTTGGACGATGGTCAAACCGCTCACGTGTAGCACAAGGTGGAACCTCATCCAGCAAGGCGGCTACAAGCACTCACCGGTAGGAAACGACATTGGTTCCATCCATTGGTGGACATCAGTTAAGTCCACCAAGCAGTTGAGGATGTTCTCCGTCGGGTTGGCCCATGCTATCGCATGGGCTCATCTGGCCAAGGGTCAAAATCCAGTACCCCCAGTGAACATCCCAATCCCCACTAAAATAGACTAAAATGGGTGGTGCACCTACCCCAAAATGGTACCATTGGTTTTGACCCACAGCCATCTGGGTGCCCCCTACAGGCACCAAGGTCGCCATCGGCTGATCATTGACTCAACGAAGGTCTTCTGGGTGCGCACAGGGAACGGAACCGTGAACTGTTTCCTGAATCGAATGAACACCACCCTCCATTTGCTGAAGTCCCCTGGAAAAAACAAACATATTTCTAGTAGTGATAGATTCCCTTTAAAACCAACAGGGGAAAATAACAAATTTTCTTAACCAAATGAACACCGCAAGGGCAGAATCGAACGGTCAGCTAAGACATGCTAAGACTATGAAACATGGTCTGTTGTCATTGGGTTCCACGTTGGTGTGCGAAGGATGGGACCAAACCCTGTCCAGGATATCTCGTCAACAGCCAGCACATCAACTTTCCATGTCCAGCATGTCAAACATGAAGCAAACACCTGGACTATGTAAAATGCTGTTGAGGCTTGCGCATGCACAAAAGCCTATGAAAGTTGGCAGTGTCTCAACACGGACCATGCCCAATGGTTGGTGCCAAAGGTGAGTTGTGTTTTTTTGCAACAATAACAATTACTACTCAAATGACCCATGATCAATGACATGATCTACTCAAGTCGTCCATGTTCCCCAGTACTGTTTCTATCCCCAGACCTGCAGCAGCCATAGAAAAAAGGCACCTTGTTTGTTAGCGGACCTTGACTCAGTTGCGCAAATGACGCAAAACTACAAGGTTCACCTTTTGGGGCCATGACTATAGTCCAAAAAGTGGAAACCCAAAGGTGAAAAGGTCGAGACCTTATAGGAAACCACTTCCAAACGGGCTGGAGCTCTACCCGTGACCACAGTATCCCAAGTTGCCGCTGATCGCCACCAGCACATCGGACACCGCCGATGCCTCGAGTCGCGGCAACTGCCCGCAGGGTCCCGGAAGCTGAAAGCACCAAACCCGACTCACCAAATGCCATTCCATTTTTGTCCGGATAGAAATCCCCTGTGCAACTAATTACATGATATGTTGTGTTGCTCTTGTGGCAACGGAGGATGCGCGTGTATCCAAGAAACATCGAAATGCCCGCGTCAATGAACTCCAGATTAGTACAGCAAAAGGCAAACG